CCTTCCCCCCCCCCCCCCTCCACGGCATCAGTTCCCGCGACGCCCCAGCCACGGCTGCGTGCCATCAGCAGAGTTGTAAGAACCACGCTAACAAAATGATTAAGCCACAAAATTATTAAAAATATAAATAAGCATCTGTCATCTCTACCGAAGCAAGAACATCTGGAGGCAGAACTCGATGCAGTTCCACCCTCTGTGCGCAGGGGATCCGCGGACGCAGCTCCGCTCTGTCTGATGCAGGGTGCCGGGTATCTACTAACGCTGAAGGGTAGCAGCCAGGGATCGAGTCCAGACCCAGTCTCAGTCTCTGGTGGTCTCAGTTTTTGGTACCTCCGTCTCGCAGCTCCGCAGGTGTCAGCCCCAGCCACTCCTCTTCCCACCGCAGGGGAGATCTCAACCTGGTCTGAGTTACCCGCGTGTGTCACTCCTCCTTCTCAACATCATTCCCACGTCACTTGCCATTGCCTCATTTAATTTCTATTTCTGAGTGCAGTCTCTGCTCAGTTTTGCTGCCTTTCCAAACACCAAACCCATTCTTTTTCCTGGCACAAACCATAAAGCTTTCACTCTGGTGACTTTGCTGCTCAGCGTGGCTCTTCACCGACTCCCATTCGACCCCGGAGAGCAGCAAATATCCCCACCACGTTGCCAGGAAAACCAGCACCAACGCATCCAGCTCAGGAGACGCCTGCCAGGATGGTTCCCAGTGCCAGTTTGTGTCATAAGGCGTTTTATGTGGGGTCACTTCTCCGCAGTGGTGTGCGACACACAGAAAACACCCTCCAAGCCAACCTCCTTGATGTAGGCTTCGTGGAGGTTTCCCTGGAACCATTTTTGAGCATATTTGTGTTGGTAACAGCAGGCGTTTTGACACTTAAAGAGGCTCAGATGAGGTTCTCTGGAACAGTCACAGGTTTCGAAGGGGCACACCGAGAGCTGCCACATCACAGAAACCCCCCGCCGTGACTCTGCTCTGACAGCTGGGGCTTGGAGAGGGCTTCAGCCCCGCTGGCCTCAGCAAGGAGGAGAGGGAGAAGGAGATGGAGGAGGAGGAGAAGGAGGAGGAGGAGATCCTGGCCGAGACAGCAGGTCTGCGCCGACTTCAAGCACCCAGGGTCATGTTGCGCAGCAGCCACTGCTGGGAACGGCCGTCACCGCACTCCCTCATGGTGGGAACCATCTTGTCCTCCTCCGACGGCTCATCCAGGCACTGGTTGCTGTTGACGTGCCTCAGGGTGAGCTTCTGCAACAGAGAAGGGTGAGAGCTGCAGCAAGATAATTACTGCTGAAACCCAGTAAGTGCATTTTCCGTCTGATTTCAGTCTTATTCTAGTCACTACACAAGCCACGAGGCAGATCCTCATCGCTGGCTGCCAGGCGCGTGGCTCAGGGAGCCGCTGCCCACCTTCTCACACGTGGCCAGGCAACCCGCCTCCGCCGAGCCCAGCAACAAATAAATGAGACAGAAAAGTACAAAACAAGTGCTAGGAAATACTGTTTCAAAGCAACAGTATTTTGGATTAGTCTTCAACAACCGGACCACGACTGCATTGCAGATCATTGCATCGTTAATTCTGAAATAATTGCTAATGGAAACACATTTTCTAAGTGCTACATGAACATGGCCTCAAGTTGCACCATAGATAACAAATAAATAAATAAATAACAGCCTCCAGCTGCCCAGGGCAGGGTCAGGCTGGCTCTGAGGAAGGATTTCTGTGCAGAAGGGGCTGTTGGGCGTTGGAATGGGCTGCCCAGGGCAGGGGGGAGTCCCCGGGATCCCTGGAGGGGTTGAAGAGTCGGGCTGAGCCAGCGCTGAGGGATCTGGGGGAGTTGGGAACGGTCAGGGGGAGGGTCATGGTGGGACTGGAGGAGCTTCAGGGGCTTTTCCAACCTGGATGATTCTATAACAGCAATATGCAGATGAAAACTTTTCTGTTTCCAATAATTTTTTTTCTTCTTTGGGGAACCTGTCCCTTTCCATTCCCACCTGACACTGTATTTCTGAGGAATGGGAGATTCAGAAGGGAAACAGAACTTATTTTGAAGAAATAGGTAATTTTCTTTTCAAAAACACTGGGAGAAGATGTTCATGAAGAGCTGGAGCCATGACGTTGTTTACTTAGATAAAACAAGACAGGTTTTATCACAGCTGAGCAGCCCGTGTTCTCTCCATCACCCCCTGGGGTTAATGTGGGGGTTTTACACACAAGATCACAGCAATTAAGCACACACCTGAAGTGCCTTTGCTATGATCAACTTACTGTCTCCTAACAGGTCTTTCCGTTCCTGAATAAAAACATTAAAACCGTGTTACACGCACACGGCACCCGTGTCCATCGATGGCCTTGCAAGCTCGAGATCAGCACTACAGCTCTGAAGGAAATACCTGTGTCTGCTACCTCACCTGCTTCACAAAATCAGGATTACGGCCTTTGTTTAGTTCGTCCCTCGGTGTTTTAAAGACTGGTTCCTCTCCCTCCAGGGACATCAGGCCAGGTAACGTGGTCAAACAAGGTCTGAGCTGTTGCACAGCAGCTGCACAGGGATTACAACCCTGCCCCGCCAAGAACAACCGAGGGAACATGCGATTTCAGGGCTGGAATCTGGCTTGCAGACCCTCCGCCGGAGCAGAGACCAATTCTACAGCCAACACCATGCAAAGGAACAAACAGGGGAGCGAGGATGGGCAGGAAAAATTCTGCAGCGTCCTGGAGGAGGGTGAAAGGATGCACCGACCCCACGACAGCAGAGCCCGACCTGAAGCCCTGGAGCAGCAGCACTGCAGAGATTTCCTTCAAGACCGCGGCTCCCAGAGTGGAGGAGGCCGCTCACCCTCGCACGGCCCCGCGAGCCCGAACGCCACTGTAACGTGACACAGGCAGCACTGCTGGGACCAAAACCACGCGCGCAAGGGGACCCTTTAGCAACCGGCGTCTCTGACGCGGTCTCCCCGCTAATAAACCCCGTTTGTGTTTCTTCATATAAAAAAATTAAAGGAAATCAAGACTATTTTCTGGCGTTTCAATTAAACCGCTGGGAAATGCCAACGCTCTGCCAACGGCCGACGGGCTTTTGTTACCCACACACGTACCTGCTCTGCTGCGCTGTGTAATTTTCCACTCGGTTCGTAGCGGACTGCCATGTCACATATTAACGCTCCTAATTTGTATTATGAATATTCTTTCAATAGCTTGTCCCCAGAGCTTCGCTCCTCAGTTTAAAACAAACTGTTACGCAATTCTCAAAGAAGAAGCCTGCAGATATTATAACAAATCACCGAGGGGCCATTTGATATGCATTCAGTGATGAATATAAGGCATTTCTTCCTCTAATTACAAGAGGAAAGAATTAGTAGTGCTAACAGAAGTAGCTTGTTTACTAAATAGCACTGCTCAAAGCATCACTGATTCTTCACTTATATTGTTTTAAGTGCAATTAAGCTGCTATCATTTTCTACTATCACCAGAAATGCAAACAAGTCTAAAAATGCTGCTGTTGCCTTCATCAGCTGTTCCCTTTTATTCAGTGTATAATTTCATGCTAGATTACCATATCATTGGGATTTTCAACCGTCTCATAAATTTTTTCTTTCTGTGTTCTATCATTATTTATGCTATTACAAAAAAGGTCTCGTTTGCTTGGAAAACAATTAATTACCAGGCAATACGATGCTCACACAAGCCAGCCTAAACTTTGTGTTTTACTCAAACGTGAGAGCACACGCCCGGGTGCAGCGCTGGCTGCGCCGACACGCAGATGCACGGGAGCGAGCTCGGCAGCTTCCCGCTTATCAAATGAATGCAACAAACAGCTCTGATGAGCGGGGACTCTGAATCCATCCTGGCAAAAGGAGGGAGCACAGGCCCTTTACTGGGACGGGAAGGTGACACTGTTTGAGTGGGGAGTAGATAAGAAATGAGAGCGACCCCGGCTCGTACCCCCGCCCGCGCGCCGCCCCATCACTATCCGTGACATCACCCAGCAAATCTCTCTGGGAAAGAAGAGCAGGAGTTGCCTCAATATTTTGATTCCTTGGGACTTTTCAAAATGAACATTTCCAAAAAATATTACGCAATTGGTATCATGTCTCTGTCTTGGAGTAGGGACCAAATCTTCAGCTATCGCAAACAGTAACAATCACGTTGACATCAACAGATCAGGGAGGTAGCTCAAAACAGTTGAATTAATCTAAAATTAGTAATAATTAATAATCACTAAGACTAAACATATATGACATTATATATCTATACAATCATCTAAGAAAAAGGAAAGGAATTCAGCTGAGTTCAACAGGAAGAGAAGGGAGAAGCATTCTTCTGAGAAAAACTTAAATCATTACATGCTGTAATTGCTTTTTAATACCAACCTCCAACCGTTTGTTAAAGGAAATAGTCAGTGGGGCTGTAAAAAATCTTTCTAAAGACTTCGAGCCTCGTGTAGTTCCTTAGCATCCACGTTTGCAAGGGGCTGCCACTGCAAGCCTCCACCGTGGGACCGTGGGTGCCATCCTCTATCCTGCTTAGTGTCAGGCACGACTGGGTGATTATATGAAGAAATGTGTGGGTCTGCACGACAGAAAAACGGTAAAAGTGAACAAAACCAGCAAAGACAAAGGAAAAAGCAACAGCCACCTTGATTCAGCATCCACAGCAGTGAAGCAGGCAAAGCAAAGAGCACTCTGACAGGGATCACTAACGGGGAATTGTGCCGGTGCCAACCTGCAGGCAATGGCGCTGGCTTAGGCACACGTAACACGCACGTGCATGGGGGTAGTCAGGAACTGAGCTTCACTTTCACAAAACACGTTCCCACTGCTCCGCTCCGAGGGACCCAAGCACTTCACATCTTGCAATTCAGACCCCAACGTGCCTCGGAATCCCCCCGCACGCACACGTTGCCCTGTTGCAATCAGGATTTCCCACTGCGCAGATATGATGTTTTTACTGCAGTAACATCCTGTACTAAACGTCCCGAAGCTTACTTGAGCATCACTAAATTAAAAATACAATAAATTAAACATTTGCATGTAAGGAGATAATAGTTTTTTTTCCCACTATGACTTCAGCTCTTCCTTTACCATACTGATACCAGGTAGACTGAGATGGAGGGGAGGATTTTTTTTCCCCTAAACACAGGCAGCCAGCAGCAGGTATCCCATCACTGTGGGTGCCCCGGGCTGGTGCTGCCTGGGCAGGCTGGGGATGCTCCTCCTGCATCTGTGGTTCTGGTTTGGGGAGGGAAAAAGTTATATACATATAAAGAGGCCACTAAAAATATCAAGAATAAATGTCCTTATAATGTCACTTTGAGTAACCAGCACAAACATCAATGGTTGTTTTGGCTTCATTATGTATTATTGCTTCATGTTCACTTCTGTCTACCATTCTTCTAAGGGAAAACAGACCTACATAGATTAATTACTTCCAAATGTAATGATCAGCCTATATTGCATGTTTATATTACATGTCTAAATTTAGTAGATCCTTCACATGGGTATAAATAGTACTAAGTTTTATTTTGGTAATCTCACCAGACTCTTTTCTCGGGTATGTCAGACAGAAAGTTTAACTTACATATATCAGCAAGGCCACAAAATCTTTAAAAAATCCCTAGTAACGGAAGCAAGAGATCATTTGCCCCCTTTGCTCATTTTATTAAACGTTACTTTATAAGAAGGCAATAAAAAAAACCTGCCGTGTTTTCCCTACTTGTTTTCAGAGAACTAAGTCCTTTCAAATACACAGTAGTAAAAGACTGCAGTTTCTAGGAATATTCAAATTACTGGCCATAATCTCTTATGGTGGAAGTTAGCAGTAAGACTGCAATTTATAGAAATATTCCAATTATTGGCCATGATCTCTTATGGCAGAGGTTAGTTTGCCTCCACCAAGCCCCGCTGGTCCCATGACTTTCAGAAGAGGAATGGTCACCAAGTCTGTAACTGTCTGAGGGATGCAGAGCAGCAGCCGTGGCGCTGCTGATCGATGTATGCTGACATGGTTAGTGAACAGAGAAGGAGAGGACTGCTGCAGCAGGCACAAGAAACAAGCCCGTTGTTCAGATACGTCGTACCCGTGGGCTCAGGGGTTTCTCTGCCATCCATCCCAACGCTGTAGGCTGGGAGCACGTCCCCTCCCTGCTCTGCTCCTCCCCAGCGAGGCAGGGCAGGGCGCTCCGAGCGGGCAGGGACCCCAGCAGCACCCGGCTCAGGGGCTGGGGGCTGCTCACACCTCCAGCACCCACCAACGCCCGCATCCCCCTCCCGTCACATCACTTCTCTGACGTGAGCACCCGCAGGTGTCAGTGCATTCCGCATAAAACACCCGACACCGTGCAGTGACACCTGTCTGCCCATCCCCGATGGCAGTGACACCTGGACACCAGAGTGAAAAGAGGAGGCTGATCTTACTCTTAATAGTCAAAGGACATAACTAAATACTACAGAAAGCAGGCTGATTTTGCTGTTAATAATCAAAGGATATAAACAAATACTCCAGAAAATAGGCCAATTGGGCTGTTAATATTCAAAGGATATAACTACTATGGATAATGGGCTGATTTTACTGTTAATAATCAAAGGATATAACTAAGTACTACAGAAAATAAGCAGTAGGAAAAATACCGAAGAGTACACTTACTTATTACTACATAGTTAAGCGAGGTAATGCCCCTGATCATCACTACCCGACGGGGAGAACAGTGATTAAGACAGATCCCTCCCCACGTGCACCCACTACTGACACGCAGCCCCGCAGTGGCTGGGCAGCCCCGGGTGCAGCGAGGGTTTGCAGAGCCTCTCCCAGCAAGCGGGAAGCCCCACGCGGTGCGTCCGCCCGTAGCTGAGGCATCCCGAGTCGCTGCAAGCGGGTCCAGCCTTATGGACCAAAAATCATCAAGCCAGAATTGCTGGCACCTTCGTTTTGAGCGGAAAGATCTGGTGTCACCCTCCCGCTGGATTCCACCCAAGGCCTGGCCAGGGCTCGGGGGGGAGAACCAAGGGAGTTTCCAACAAGGCCAAACACTTGGGTTCTCAGCCCAAGGCTAAATGAGGGACGTTGGGTACTCACAGCATTTCATCCTCACTACTGATTATATTCTAAGCTACACTTTTCACTAGCGAGCTTACATATTTCATTAACGAACAGATTGTAATAATTAACACTAATGGTAATACAGATTTTACTAATTAACAGATACTAATAACAGAAAACGTTTAGTTGCGAGGTTCATCTAGAGGTCAGCTTTGTTTCGAGGCCCATTATTCAGCCCTAGCACTACATACACCACCTGAGTAAGGCTTGGCGCGTTGGAGGAGTGTCTACGGGAGGGCACTACGTCACGTCGCTCTTACACAGCACTGCCGGAGGGGCGAGCAGAGAAGCGCTACTCTAGGGGCTGCAGTTGCTGCGGAACTTACCTCAAAGCTATATTCCCATTTCCCAGCATACTGATGGAAGGGGGGGGAAAAAAAAAAAAAAGTAAATTGGAGTCAAACAGTGACTCAAGAAATATTTCTGTGAAGGCTCTCCAAACTCAACAGCTTTGCACCAACACCACGTCTAGTGACAAATAACAGGAATTACACAAGACCGAATCCTGATGCCATTATTCACCCATGACAAAATGAAACTATTTTCTGTCAGACGTGACATATTTACAGCAATATTTTTTTTTACCTGAGTTCACTTGTGTGCTACATGCCATCAGATTTCATCCCACCGTACATGCTGAAATTTGCCCGGGAGCCACCGGCAACCTGAGCACAGACCCAGACACGCTCCGCCCGGCTCCCAACCTCCACCTGAGGGGTCTGTTTGGCCCCCGAACACCAGCCGTGTCACTCCCACACGAGTATCTCCACCAAGGCCGGGGGAAACCAAACAAACAACTATTGAGCAAGATTGGAAAACCCGGGTTCATTAGACAAGACTGAACGCTGAGGGAGCAACTCTGGCTCCGGCCCATCGTAACTCACAGATCTTTTTCTGCTGATCCGCCGCCTCATTTCCCACCCCCATTCCGAAGCAAATAGCATTTATGCATTATAAATACGTTATAAAACACATGCTGATAGGAAGCCTTTCAAAGCTGGGAAATTCTAACGTGGCACGTCCCATCGATAGAGCTGATTTATAGAGCTGCCCTTGCAAGGTAATGGGCAGCTTGAGAAAGGGCCAGGAATCTTAATGTGCTGTTCAAGAAGTAGGAAAGAAAAGCATTAAAATTCAATAATGGAAGGCAATGGATTTAAGAAAAAAATATTCCTGCCAAGATGTAAAAACATTCAGGAAAAAAAAAGTGTTTTAAAATGCTGTAAACTACTATTGCCTGAAGTGTTAAAAGCCATTTTGCATTAGAGACGGAGACTGCTGCCCAGAGCCCGTACCCTTCCTGGAAACAGCTCCTCCGGGGGATCTGCAGCCCGCAGCTCACGGCTGTTGTTGCTCCTGCTGACAGCAGGTTTCTTTATTTAGTGTTCCCTTAAATCCAGGCAATACCATTAACATTTTGTGCATCGAAGGGCTTCTTTTTGGGCTATATAAATATTAGTATCCATACCGGGCTCTCTCTTTTTTACTCCTACAGGTAATAGCTAATAATTTATCCTATCGGTTAAGAAAAAAAGATGCAGCTCAGTGAAAACTGCCTTGCAGGAAACAGCAACGGAATAAAAGATTTAAGCAACCCCATGCGACCCGTGGGGCCAGAGCTGGCAGCCCCAGAGCCGCAGCCTGCGCCCGCCGAGCTTTAGTCAGAGTGAAAAACAGAACGATGGAAAAATCTATGTGAACAACAACAAAAAACCCACTTCTTGATTGCAAACGATTTTGTTTCAACACGGACTTCCATTTTATGAGGATATTAAAAGAGAAGGCTTTATTTGATTCTTTTAATTCGGGGCTTTTCCAAAAAAAAAAAAAAAAATCGACTTGTTTTTTAAGCTCGATGTAAAATATTTTCCCTGTTGCAAATTAAATAAACAAGCAAGCAACAGGTTATTCACACAAAGCAACCGGAATAGCTGTCCTTCTCACAGCAACCCTCTCCATCAGTGAATTAGGATTTTATAGCTGGGCCTGTCACTCAGACTGGGCACTGCCGGGGTGCCACCACGTGCAAGTCACCCAAGACCTTACCCCGTGATTCAACGGGGACTGAAGGAGCCCTGAGAAGTGTTTCTGTGTTTCTGTTCTCCTATCACTATGCAGAAAAGGCACAAAACTAATTTTTAACAGGTTTTTTTTTGGAGAAAGATGCCACAATGGTTTAGCTCCCTGCCCGTTCACCTGGCTGTGGGACGTGACTAATCCCTGCAAACACCAACTTCGGTGTTTGCTTTCTTCAAGGGGAGAGCAATCATTTGGGAACTACGGCATTCCCTTCCATAAGGCGTGATTCACCCACCTTTTTTAATTTTTAAAACTATGTCCTTTTCCCCAGTGACGTTCTTCAGTGACACAACCTGTGGCAATCTGCTAACCACAACTGCTTTTGCCTAACAAAAAAACATTTAAACTCAGTTCTGTGGTGCTTGATTTTTTTTTTTTTTTTGTGTACAAACCCTGGCAAGTACTGTGTTATTTATATGACCTATAAAGGCACCAACATCATTGTAACTCTAAAAGACATAATGCAAAATACTCTGTTCCCACTCAGGAATTTTGCTGATACGAAGCAACTGGATTTATCTCAGTTACCAGCTGCTTTACCTCAGTTACCAGCCGATAATCCAACAGCTTCAACTGCAATTTTAAACCAGGCAATTCACATGGGCAGACTTTTTAAAGATATCAGACACTCTGGAAAACCGTACTACACACCCACCTGTAGTCGGACTGACTCACCCCCAAGACCTGATCCTCTGAACAAGAACACAAATCCTGATAATAAAAAACACGTTTCCAGGGGCCCGGGAATTCTGGCTGTTGCTGGAACCACCAGTGCCAAAAGCAGGTCAAGTTCAACACAGAAGTGTAACAGCATAACCCCTCTTGCTGTGCCCATACCTCCCCCATGGTTGGTTGTTTGTTTGTTTGTTT